GGAACGCCAAGGCCGTGTCAAGTAAAAGGCTCTTTCCCAGCAGAGGTTGCATTCGGGATATCTTTCAAAGAGAGAGGAGGAGGAAAAACACCCCAGAGAGAATTAGGACTTTTTCTTAATTTCATTGACTTTAAAACAAAAAAAACTTACAAACTCGCAGTTTAAAAACAAGTATTGGAATGTCACAAGAGACATAGGACTAAAAAAAACAAAAACAAAAAAAAATCCCTTCTAGGTAGAGTATAGGTAAAAACTGTCCCCTTTCTTTTGGCTTTGGTTGTGATTTCAGAGCATATGCTTTGTTTTTTGTCTTTTTACTATGTTTTTGGATTTGAAAGTCCGTAAGTGGCATATGCCTTTTCTCTAATTTTTAAACCCTGCTGCATCCCTTTCTTCCACTTTCCTCGTGCCTCCTTTTCCCCTGGTTTTGACATTTGCACTTGGAACACCGAGTTGTGACTTTTTTTGGACATCCGCCATAGAAAGTGGAAGAACTATTTTTTCCTTGGACTGGAAGAAGAGGAATTTTATGAAAAATTTGGCTTTATTTGCCTAGAAGAATCGAATGGAAATTGTCGCCAAGGATGCGTCCGAGGGTGGTTTGTTTTCCTCTGACCCTTTGTTACTCAAAAGTCAAGTACTAGGAGTCCTAAGAAATGTTCTGTTCTTGTGCATTATATGGATTACAGATTAAGTCTGGATTAATTTGATTTAAAGGCTGAGAACAGTGGTAAAAACTTGTTTTGTTTACAGGAACATGAATTTTGAACGAAAAATATTGTAAAATGTGTAGTGAATATGTTTCTTCAGTTTCTTGTTAAGCCAATGAGGAATGGGCATTGCCTTTCTTTTCACCATTAATCACTTCTCAATAATAAACGTGAGATCCTGTTGAGCATCACTTTTGTTTTCCATTTTGTTTTCACTGTTAGGTGCTGCCCTGGATGTGGCTACCAGGAGACAGTACATGGGGAAAATAAAATTGCAAATGGGGCAGCAGGCTAACTAAAATCTGGCTCGTTGGCCATTGTGTGATTCACATACTGGACTTTGAGCCAGTGCTCCTGGCTTCTCCCGTTGGTTTTAAACAGCTTCATGGGACCCAGCGCTCTACTGCCACCTTCCTTTTTATTTGTGTGCACTCTAACCATCCATGGGAGCTTGGTCTCATCCAAACCCTTCTCTTGCTCTTTGGAGACTGGCTTTAGCAGGTCAGTTGGGCCCAGTTATAACACAACCCTTGTCACTCAGATAGGGATGTTAAGTAGCGGTTAACTGGCTAATTGAGTAGTCGATGAGGAAGGGCCGTGCCTGCTCACTCCCGGCTCATGCTTGATCTCAGCACAACCTCCCGCTGCCGCTCTGCATTTTTAAAGGGAAGCTGGCAGGAGAGGACATTGGTTGACTCCCTGGTCCCGGGTCTCAGCACTCACGCTGGCTTCCCTTTAAAAATGCAGTGTGCCAGGGCAGGGGGGACGGCTTGTGCTGAGACCTGGGACCAGGGATTCAGTTGGTGTCCTCTCCTGCCGGCTTCCCTTTAAAAATGCAGGGGGCAGAATGAGCGAATAGTCAGTAGTGCTGCCCAGTAAGCTCCTGCTTATCAGGTAATTGACTAGTCGAGTATTCCTTTACATCCCTAGACCCAGACCCGGCTACAGCATGGTACTAGGAATTATTTAAATGTGTGTGAACAAGATCAAACTGGTCTATTACTGACTCACGTTACAGCAGTGAGATGTCTGTTAAAATGTAATTGGTGGTGGTCTGTGGTAACCATAGTAGTTCTACTAGTGTCCACTGGCCATAAATATGAAACATGGCTTCTGGGGATTGACTGGACCGGCTCAGGATTGCCTGATAAATTAGTACAGCTCCTTTAGTTAACATGCCAGCTTTTTACATTTGGAAGCCTGGCTTCTAAGGCGCAAAAGTTAAAAATGATATCGATCCCCAAGGACATGACTCGTCAGGGTGTCCCTGTTTAGGAAGATCAGAATGGGAAGATCAAGGGTCCTGCAGATGGAGATTGAAGTGCACTCATGCCGCATAGGGAGCCTCGGCTTGTAATAGCAGGAGATGCCGCAGGTCAGGATCATGAGCTGTGAGGGCCATAGTTCTCCAGCCTCCATTCCAACATTCCCTCTCTCCCAAGTGCAAAAAGAGCCCTTGTTGCAATGGGAGGTGTACGAGCTACTGAATTCTTTCCAGTGAGTAGGTTAGAAGACCCTCCTGAAGCCCTTTGAACTCATGAGGGTGGACTTGGATCCAAAAGCTCCTTTGGCCTGTGAAATAGTTTGAGATCGAAAAACCAAAAGTCCAAGTCTCCTGCTTGCCTTGTTTTCTGCAGAGCCGACTGCAAACAGACTAACTCCTGAGCTGTGGAACAGTATGGGCTTGATTCTCACTAGTGAAACAGGATATTAAAATATTTTGTTATTAAATTGGTGTTGATTATCAAGTGGCTTTCACGATTGCTAGCTGGCTCCTTTCCATTTCCATCACCTGAGGCAAGGAAACTGGGCTGGTCTGTTTCATTTCCTGATTCTCCTGGACTAGTGCTAGTTGTTAGAGGAGGTTCTTTCACTGAAGGGGAGATATTTAACGCCACAAAACTGGGGATGTAATAGCGTAGTATTAATGCTATAGACTACATACATTTCCCTCCTTCCCCACACTCCTTGCTAGTAAATTTTTTTTAGCGGGCTGCTGACCAGCCTGCGGCTCAGTCCTGTTTGCACCGGGTCTGGGACCTACCTGTGCTGCAGCTCTGCATTGAAAAGTATACAGTAAATCCTCATTTAACGTGGTAGATACGTTTCAGAAAATGATCGTGCTAAGTGAAAATGTGTTATGTGAGGTCAATTTTCCCATTGAAAATAATGGAAAAAGTGGGGGTTGTGTAGGCGCTCGCAGCTCCAGCCTGCACTTGTTAGCCGCTGGGACTGGGACATAAGGTTGGGGGAGAAAGGGGACTGGGTTACAGCAGGGAGGAGAGGTGTTTGGCTCTGGGGAAGGAAAGGGGAGGACAGGGGAGGGGGCTGGCCGCTGGCGGCTGGGTGGCCCCGGCT